CGGAAACGAGCGCAAGTTCATGAGGGAGTCGCTCGTGAAGAGGCCTTCCGAGACAGGGCCATGCCTGATGCCTCCGCCGTATGATCCGGCGTCGTTTTACTCTCTTATCAAGAAGAAAGATACCACTTTTGCCAGGATCCATGCATGGGAGAGGAGGTACTGGCTCATGCACAAGAAGAACCAAACTGGGAATTGATAGCTGTTGCTTTATATCTTCAATTTTGTTAGATTGATATATATATTTATATATATATATATTATAACCAATGTCCCACGAATATTTTATTTTTTATTTTGGTTAGAAATTTGATGTATTACGTACACAATTTTCTGTATGTATATGTTATTTGGTTATGGGACTGTTGATGTAACATGGTGGCAGGTTGGTTGAACATCATGACCAGTGAGATCGATACGTTGCTTCACGTTGAGTCCAAAATCATATAAAGTTTATTCGCTCTTTGTAAGAATTTTCACGTCTAATGGGTCCCAATTTCACACTACTGTTTTTCTTTTTCTTAATTTATTACAAAAAAAAATGTTTTGGTTCACAATCTATATTACATGTATGTAGAGTGATTTGCACGTCACTAGTCACACCTACGTCTTCTTCATTCTAAGCAACATATATAACACGCGTCATCCAATTTCCCAACACAAAAAATACGCATGTCATATATATATATATGTATGCATATCGTGTATCTATATTATATATACGTTCATATATACATGTGTGTGTATGGCTCGTGAATTATGTATGTGTTATCGAATGATTTAACCACGGCTATGATTAGAATTAGATGAGATTAGAGTCACGTGATTTAACGCTGGTGTCACGTGACTGTTATTCTCCCTTGATGCGCACGACTCAATTAAAAGGAAAAAGAGACTGATGATGCAGATCTCGCAGCCTTTTCCGAGTTTTGTCCACGCATCGTACACGCGCTACAAAAGCGCGTGAGATCTCTCCCCATTTCGTATAGCGATAATAAGACGAGTGGCTATTTTCTCAGGTTCATAGTCCATTTTTTTATTTAATATTATATATATATATATATATATATATATATATATATTGTGTGTGTGTGGAATCTCAATATTTCGTAGGTTTAAAGGGAAAAATGAAACATATTATAGTAAGGCCACTTACGTTTTCTAAATGGATCTGAGGAAAAAAATGTTTTCAAATTGCCGCAGAGAAAATGCTTTAATATATAATTATTATTGAGTCATAGACAATCCATTCATTCATTCATTACTGTCAGAAATGCATTGCCGAGTCTTATAAAACGGAATGATGGTTTATTTTAAAAATATAAATTTTATATTGCAAGTGAAATCTGATTTTTTTTAGTTATAATTGAATAATCCAAATGTTATATAATATTTTTTAGGCACAGAACTCCTAAAACCCATCCATTCAACCCCTAGATCTCATGAATTCGGATTTAATTTTTTTACAGGTTTTTATTTTTTTGAATTATCTTTTTATTGTTTATTTCCGATTCTGCATTTTTTTCAGAACTCTTTTAGATTATGTATATCTTCAAATTGTTAAATTATTGCGTGTATTTTTTTTTTCTTTTTGTGCATCCGCTAAAATTGTTGTTTTCCTTTGGATTTTTTGGCACTTTAAATTCGCTAATTGTTAAATTGATTTGGGTTTTGGATATTCGGATATTTAGGGTTCTTATCTCCACCAAATCTGACAGACCCCACTATGGAAACATACCGACACCGGTTTTCTCTTTCTTGGTTTGTTTGGTTTTGGACCGGTTTGGTTCAATTGGGCGGATAAATAATTTTTTATTCTTTATAATTTCAATTTTCCGCTTATTTTGCATGGCAATTTGTGTAATATATTATTATGATATAAAAAATTAACTGTTATGCCAATTGATCAATGGCTTGAACTTTGGACATACAACTCGAGAGTCATGTTTAGAGGCAACTAATCAAATCATTGGAGTGGTTAAGGATATCGAACCGGTTCAGTTTCGAACCGGAAAATCATTCTACCGGCGAAAACCCCTTTCTCCGTCATCTCCGCGCTATAAGAGCATCCATTTCGTCTTCCTCATCTCGTCGCAACCGTTCGAAAAATCTCTGTGACTCGTCGGTTTCTCTCTCCAGCAGCATCACTCTCTCTTTCTCTCACTTGAACTCGGTTGCCGATTCAGAGAGTTATCGAAAATGCGTGAGATCCTTCACATACAGGGAGGCCAATGCGGGAACCAGATCGGTGCCAAGTTCTGGGAAGTGGTTTGCGCCGAGCACGGAATCGATTCGACGGGGAAGTACAAAGGGGACAACGATCTGCAGCTCGAACGAGTCAATGTGTACTACAACGAAGCGAGTTGCGGGAGATTCGTTCCACGCGCCGTCCTGATGGATCTGGAGCCCGGGACGATGGACAGCGTCAGATCCGGTCCGTACGGACAGATCTTCCGCCCGGACAACTTTGTCTTCGGCCAGTCCGGTGCCGGTAACAACTGGGCGAAAGGACACTATACGGAGGGGGCTGAACTGATTGACTCGGTCCTCGATGTTGTCCGCAAGGAAGCCGAGAACTGTGATTGCTTGCAAGGTGAGAATCTCTTCCTTGGTTCCTTCGATTTCTGTTGAAATATATTTCCCTTTTCATGGTACCGAGTTTCTTGCTTGTAATTCGTGAATTCTTGGATTTTTGCTGATCTATGTTTACTTGATGCAATGGAGAATTGCGTGAAGTAACTTTACAACGTTTTGCTGTCTCCCTCGTTGTTCAAGAACCCTAAACCTCAACCGTAACATTACTTAAACTCCGTTGATCTAAGTTTGTTGTCGAAGTATTTTCTGTGTTGTCTCCAAATAACATCGAACGGTAAAAGATCCCTAGTCAAAGATGACTTGAGAATGACAGATTACTCAAAACATTAATATGCATCGATTTGATTTGGGAAACGAGGAAGAAATTTATTTCTGTGGAATAATACTTGTCGTTACCCTACCAGGACTTGTTTTATGCAATGTAAGATCAGACGTGTTTCGGATATTCAGATGATATGTTTGTGTGACATCTCCAGGATTCCAAGTGTGCCACTCGTTGGGTGGAGGGACGGGGTCGGGGATGGGTACATTGCTCATTTCGAAGATAAGGGAAGAGTACCCAGACCGGATGATGCTGACTTTTTCTGTGTTCCCCTCACCGAAAGTGTCCGACACTGTTGTTGAGCCATACAATGCTACACTCTCTGTCCATCAGCTTGTAGAGAATGCCGACGAGTGTATGGTCCTCGATAATGAGGCTCTCTATGATATTTGCTTCAGAACTCTGAAGCTCACCACTCCAAGCTGTAAGTTTCCTTTCTTCTTCAGTTCTTTGAGATTTTCAGCGATATGTGCACCATTCATCGTTCTAACATAAGAAGTATTAATCAAATGGTTTGCATGATCTGAGATATTATGGTTCAAGCTAATCCATTGCCAATTCAGATCTGCTTCGCCTGAACTGAAATTGTTCGTTTGATATTCGGTTACAGTTGGAGACTTGAATCACCTGATCTCTGCCACCATGAGTGGCGTCACTTGCTGCCTTCGGTTCCCTGGTCAGCTTAACTCCGACCTGAGGAAGCTTGCCGTCAACCTGATCCCCTTCCCTCGTCTACATTTCTTCATGGTCGGGTTTGCGCCTCTCACATCTCGTGGGTCCCAGCAATACCGAGCCCTCACAGTCCCCGAGCTGACCCAGCAGATGTGGGATGCGAAGAACATGATGTGTGCAGCCGACCCTCGCCATGGCAGGTACCTCACGGCCTCAGCCATGTTCAGAGGCAAGATGAGCACCAAAGAAGTGGATGAGCAGATGATCAACGTGCAGAACAAGAACTCGTCCTACTTTGTGGAATGGATCCCAAACAACGTGAAATCGACGGTGTGTGACATCCCGCCGACGGGTCTGAAAATGGCATCGACGTTCATAGGGAACTCAACCTCGATACAGGAGATGTTCAGGAGGGTGAGCGAGCAGTTCACGGCTATGTTCAGGAGGAAGGCGTTCTTGCACTGGTACACGGGAGAAGGAATGGATGAGATGGAGTTCACGGAAGCAGAGAGCAACATGAACGATCTGGTTTCTGAGTATCAGCAGTACCAGGATGCCACGGCCGACGATGAGGAAGGTTACGAGTATGAAGATGAAGAAGAAG